CCACAGCCACTGACAGAAGGCTGTGCATCCTCCTCGCAATGATCTAGTCACTCCTTGAGGGCGCGACAATTGACAACCGAGTGCCCGGGCTTATGGCAATTTGCACACAAGTGGAGGCCCTTGGCGCACTTCTGAAACCCGGACTTTGAGTCTTTTTCGGTCTTATTCTCACACCCGTCCTCGAGATTAAAACCCCAGCAGAGGTTACCATGTTTGGATCGAGTATCAAAGTTTGCAAGGCTAGCCGGCTTGTTCTTGGGGCCACCACGGGTTCTTGCCTTGGCCTTTGCTTTGCCAGACGGCCCCTGCGGCTTTCCCCTCGGGCGCTTTAACCCAGGCGCTCGGCCACCATCCCCACCACTGCTGGCAGCACTGCTTTTTGGCAAAGGGAGCAAAAACTGGCTGACCCGGACATCGTACGTGAGCCTGTTCATAAGCGTGTCCAACGGAAGGACGCCACCAGCTCCAGCCTTGAAGCTAGCAAGGTTTTCCTGAGACATGAGCACAAAGAGCTCCTTGTCAGCACGGATGCATTGCGACAAGCTGATAGCACTGTACCCTGGCGGTGGCATGGTAGAGAGGGAGTCAAGCAAGCGCTGAACCCATTTTTGGTGCACGGCATGCGAGATCATGTTGCACTGATCGTAAGCTAGGCCTCTACGCATCCATGCCCGCTGACACCTCAGGCTATCCGAGGTGTCACACTCCAAGGCCTGCGGACTATGTCCAAGCTTGACAACGTTTTGCTCTACTTGAAGAGTCGAGGGCTTTTCACGAAAACCTGCCAGCACCTCAATTTCTCGCTTAGGACACTTTGAGGGCGCAAGCCAAAAAATGGTAGATGTTTCCATCTGATGATTGCAGCTATCAATTAACTGGAAAGAGGGATCCAGTTCCCCTTCTATGCTGAGGCCCGCCAACCTCTTGATTTGGCTGTCTCTCCTTGCACGCTTCTCTGGAAGCGGGAGCTTACGCATGGTAGACTCAGCCGATTCTTGGTGCACCAACTCTTTGTAGGTTTGAATGACAAGAGTAGTTGCCTCGAAGTGCAACTGACGAACTGTGGCCAAATCTCCCAGGCTAGGAGTTGAAGTCGCATAAATTTTTGCGGCCAGCCCTTCATAAGCGGCATCGTTAGGAGCAGTCTGAGGTGTGCCCAACGCAAAGGCAAGGGATCTGTAACTCTTTAAGCCTTGCCCAGACATACCCGCCAAGAGCGACCCATCACTCTTGAGCTCCAAGCACCTTTTCTCGAAAGCAGCCTCGCTCTCGATGATGGTGGACATGTCTAATCGAAACCGCCTCAAAAAGGGGGTATCTCGAGCCTCAACCTCAATGGAAGCTCTCTCTACCAAGCATATGCCACCCACGAACAGATCCACATTTCGAGATATGCGTAAGGAAAGGATGTATCATACACACTTTCAGTGGCAGGGGTATAAGACAGCACCAAGCAGATGCTCTAGGCTCGCCGCAAATCAGGATGTGTCATGCGCAACCCGATCATCAAGCTTTGCATAACACAGCTCATGTTGCAAGACAGCTTACACTGTACTAACGAAAAATGTAGCCATACCAGGCCAGAAAGTAAAGTATCTGTTGCTCACAACAAGACGCCAGCATTTTCCGAGCTCAGCACTGTTCGTCTGCAATTCTGGCACAAGTGGCACACCTGGAGCTCGCGGACGAAGGCTGACCCTCAACTCTTGTGTGTCGGGGGCCTATCACTCTCCCGCAAATGAAGATCTTGCTGTAATGGGCGTATGTCAAATGTAGCACTCTGGATTTGGAATGTTCCCAGTAGAGCATACCCTCCGGTGCAGAAGGCAGGAGCGCTTTAACGAATACGCCCCGTTTGTTCCTATCAGAAGAACTGGACGAAGATGAGGACTCACTAGAGGAGGAAGTTGTCACATGCTGATCGTCATCCATCTGGGGATGTGACTCAGGAGGACTCCTAAGCTCCTCAGCAGCAGACCCTGCAGAAACGACGGAAAACTCTTCGTCCTTCACTTCAACAAGAGGCACAGGCTTGGACATGTTCACAAAGCGCCCACTGCGGGTCTCGTCAGGGCGAAATCGCCCATCCCTCACCGCCCTCAAAACCTTCTCTAACAGAAGCACAGAGGGAGAGGCTGCGTCTCTCCCGTACGTGACTGCCATTTGGCACCCTCCACAATGGTACCCAAGTAGCAGGATCTCGTTGGGGTTTGCTCCGAATTTGGTAGCAAATGATACGCAAGTGCACTTTAAGGAATGACTACTGACCCTGCGCCCCGGGAGCTTATCAATACTGCCGTAAAGAATGTACCGAAGCCAGGCACCTGCTTCGTCGCTCAAGGCTACGATCTGTGATCTGCATGTTTGCATCCGGAGCTGGCATCATCGCACCACCATCCTGCGGGTCCTTCAGGCCAAGATCCCTTCTAGCCTGCAACCACAAGGCACCCCAATTTGCATCCACCACTCCCAAGGCCGGGGCGACGAATGGCAAAAGAGTACCCTTGAACTGCTTGGCATTTCTTGTTTTGTGGATATCCACGGAACACTCGATGAAGGCAAGCTTCCCTTCCGAATCATAGTCCCAAAGAATCCTCTCCGTATGCATGAGATCCTCCCACCTGGAGCGACCAGAAGTGCACATGAGCGAGCGACCGGAGAAGACCTTGTTCCACAAAGAAGGGTCATGTTCAAGTGCTTGATGAAGGCGATGCAACTCTGCGACTTTAAGGGCCGAAGCCTGCTCACGATCACGGTTCGACACAACTTTAGCATTACCGTGGCATCTACGGCTTTCATTCACAGTGCCGACCTCCACCACGCCTATGACAAACCTGGCAAAGGCTAAGGCTTCGATAACCCCTTTTCGAGCTGAGGCGGCTTTCCCTTTGTCCTGCAAATGGCAGAGGTAACCGTAGCAGTCAGACTCGTTGCCAGGGAAAGCCAAACGAAAGTTGCTCAAGTCATCAAAATACCCGCGAAGGGCCCGGTACCTCTTAATAAGAGTAGAGGGAGCCTTATGTCCCAACAAGTCTCTAACCATCCGAGGTCTGGCACCCTCGCTCGAGGAAGTCAACTGAGACACCACCGCCAAGTTGCTAGGCCAAGAGAGCAGAAAGGCCTCCCAGAGTTCAAGAGCTTCTGCCATCTCCTTTTCACGCTTTGCCTTCTAAGAGACCGGATCCCTGTTCTTGACAGCTTGTAAGAAGGAGCTTCCCACCAATGGCCGCCATGCATGTTCCGGTTCGGAATGCCCCGAACCAGTATCCAATGAAGAGCCAGAAGGCTGAGCAGGCCTATCGAACCTCTCCACTAGGAAGTCTTTCAGAGGATCAGACGCAGGTTGAAAAATCGATCGCCAAAAACCATCATCCCACACCTGTTTCGGCTCAGGTACTTCTAGACGTTGGTGGGCGGCTCTAACCATTGAAGAGATATCCCCAACCTGATCCCGAGATGATGCGCTCAAATTGCCAGCTTTGGCAGAGGCCCTGGCCAGTGGTGGATCAGCCTCCAGCTCCACTTCTCTATACCAAGCTGCCTCACTGTCCTTTTTCTCCGACTCATCCAAAGTGCTCCCAGATCACGGCGGGGGCCCTCCATGTCAGAAATTTCCTTTTCAGAGGGCTCATACGCAGCTTCTGAAGAGCACCAATCCCTAGGGGGCAGTACCAGAAATAAACCGTCTTTGTCGCTTGAAAGGCCAGTTCCAGCCATTGCCGCTTTATACCCCAATCAGAAGAAGAACAATGGCCACCAGCAGTCGCGCCCAGATGGCGTGAAAATCAATCCAGAGCGTCCAGCTGCAAGTGGTGTTCGAGGTCAGAGAGTCGGCCTTCGAAGTTATCGAAGGAATGCTCCGCCACGACCAAGGATTCTTCTGCGCGCCCGAGGCGCTCTGACAGAAGTGGTAGGGCCTGAAGAATCTCTTGCAACGCCTGCTGACAGACCACCAGGCGATCAGACAGCTCCTGCACACGCCTGTCGAGGGCGGTAACTTGCCCTTGAAGAGCAAAAACGTGGCGGCTGACCTCACTAAGGCTGCTTACGTCAGACTCTCCGGAAGAGTCTCTGTCCATCCGCCGGCCCCCACCAAGGCTGGGGCTCACAGCTTGCACAAGCCCCTAGCGGGCACCCGTAGCACCTCTACAAGGGCCCTTAGGGACAGCAGCCTCTAGAGACCTTTACAAGTCAAAAATTTTCCACACCAAGCCAGAGCCACTGCGTGCATGCATGAACGGCCAAGCTTCATATTTGCAACCGTCAACCGCATGGGAAAATTTTAAAATTTTGCAAGTAGCAAAAAAAATTACGCAACAAAATCACCGCTAATTTCAACAAAGAAATTCAAGCATATAGGAATAAGGTGTTCATCCCACTGGGAGTAGCCACTTGCTTGATTTCAAGTCTAACATACTCTCTTGCTCATCTAAGCTCAGTTTAATATCCCCTTGTATGTCAAAAGTAGGTTCTATCTTGTCTTCATTTCGTTCCATTTCGTTACAATTCGTTCCAATTCGTTCCAAGTCGTTCCAATTCGTGCCAATTCGTGTCAATTTGCGCCAATTCGTGTATACTCGAGTCATAAAATGAGAAATTCCCATGGCTTGCAATGACATCATAAGTGATGTGAAACTGTCATTTGAACAAACAATAAGCGATGAAATGAAAAAAATTCTGCTAGGTACGTTTCATTCCTGTTCTAAAGTATCCCCACACTCCGATCATTTCCATCTCGAGTCGGAAAATGAGAAATTCCCATGGCTTGCAATGAGATTGTCATGATTTTTCCGATTTCCGACCATGAGAAATGTAATTTGAACGATCGATAAGCTCAAAATGAAGAAGTTTGGAGGGTTTGTTTCAGGTTGTGTTTTACAGTATCCCCACACTCCAACTTGAATCATTTTCTCACTGTTTGAAGCGCTGAAAAAATCGACTTTTGCAACAGGATGAGCGTTGAAAAAATGCAAATTTCACTACATGGTCACTGCTGTTTTACCGCCAACGCTGAAGGCATGAGAGTTTTGTTGCCTTTTTTAGCCCGCTGTTTCAGCGACGATGCTGAGGGCAGCTGAATTATTTGCTCTTTAGCCTGCTGTTTCAGCAAGACAGCTGAGGGCAGGAGACGACCCCGGTCATCGTAGCATTAGCAGTACTTCAACAATCATACGATTCAGCGAGAAAATTGCGGGTGGATACTAGAAAAGGATAGGTGGTGATATGCAATCGACCAGGCACTCAGCAGCCAGTCAGAAGACTCCAAAGCCTAGCATGGCGCAGAAGCGCTAGTTTTAAAACAAAGCACATGGCAGAGCGAAGGCAAAACATCATCAAACAAGTTTACGAAGACCCTCGAAATGGTTTTGGCAGCATTGTCGATACGTTACGCCAAGCGAGAGCTAGGGATCCTACAATCTCAAGAGGGGATGTGGTTAGCTTCAAGAAGAAATTGAAAGTCAGGGAGGATAGACTCCAGAGAGGTTACAATTCCTACGTACCAGTAGAACCTATGCATCAGCTTCAGGTGGATTTGGCAGACATGTCGGTGTTCAGCACAGCTCCCTGCCGCTACATGTTAGTGGCAATCGACACCTTCACCAAGAAAGCAGCAGCGACGCCCTTGGCACAGAAATCAGCGGCTGCAGCGGCACAGGGGTTCAACAACATAGTAAAAAGCCTGGAGATACCTTCTTACGTATACTCAGATGATGGTACCGAGTTTAAAGCTGAGTACAAACAGAAACTCGATTTCTACGATGTGGACAAACTAGTTAGCAGAGAGCACGCTTTTCACGCCGAGCGAGCAATCAGAACCTTAAAGAGGCATTGGTTCGGAGGCTTGCAGCTGGTCTAGTTCCGAGAAATCTGTGGTATCAGTTGTTGCCCAATGTCCTGGAGCAGTACAACGCTAGGGTCCACACCAGCACAGACGTAGCCCCCAACGAAGCATATCAAGATCCTGCCAAAGCGGAGCACGCAAGACAGGCCATGATAGCGAACACCAAGAGAGATGCGCCCACAAAGCGTATTCTAGAAGTGAGAGACAGAGTCAGGGTCCGGATCAAACCTAGAGAGGCTAGAGGATCCTACCGAGTCACGGAGGTGGCATGGTCTGAACAAACTTACCCCATAACTCAAATAGAATACACTGACATGGGGCCGCTGCTCACTTCAAGAGGTTGGTCAGGAGGCAAGTTGGTGGCACGCGACATAAGAAAGGCAGTAGCAGAAGGCAGAGCAGGGTTGGACTCCAGGGAAGCAAGAAACGCTAGGGCAGCACGCGAACCTCGTCTAGCACCAGGACCAGCCCCTCCACCGGGTTGAAGATGAAGTCAGAAGGTAGGACCTGAGCAGAAACCGACGCACAACGCGTTGCAAAAACTCTAGGTCTGGACATGCTCTGCCACAACAAAGCAGGTGTGAGCAATTGTTTGCATCAGTCGTTGCTTCAACTGGTTTTTTTGTTAGAGGACTCACAGCTGCTGTACAAAGCCGCGCTATCCACAAAGGCCTCTAGAAGGTAGCGCCATTCACGCGGCAGCTTCTTCTGTCAGCGCCCTGGTAGCGCGCGCAGACTGTACTACGCTATACTGCCAATGAGCCTGGAGACTACCTATATCGAACAGCGTCAGGATGACCGACTAGGTACAACATCACCATCTGGAAAGGCCTTCTCGCCTGCTCTCCAACCCAAGCGCCTCCTCCAGCGCCACCAAGAGGCTGTCGTTTCTTCAATGCCCCAGCGGCCTCGACCTCCGAGCATTCAGCTGAAAGGCTTTGTCTTTGAAGGGACTCAAAGTCTTCTTTGTCATCTGTACCACGCCCAGGGTGAAGCGCTGCATGGAAAATGTCACGCTACTCTCCAGGCCATTCTCCATAGTGCGAAGGTAATCTTGATGGCTAGGACGAACTCTCTTCATGACGCCCTTGCACTTCTGCTCGGAGCCACCATCTGTAAATGCCATGCTGCACAGCTTGGATCGCAGGTTCACCTTCTCCACAACCCTTTTTGGTAGATACTCTACTCCGAATCCTAGCTCACCAGCCCGCGACCATGCTAACTCACGCTGCGTAGAGTCAGGAAGTTCAGGATCTCGTGGCCTTTGGACTTTCCCACCAAGTCCTTAGCCATGTCGAAGAAGCATGGCATGTCAGCAAGCTTCATGTTAGCCCTGGCAAGCGTGATGACAGGGTCTTCCTCGGGTTCTATCAAATAATGAGCGCTGTCGGTATCGGTCATGGTGATGATGGCTCTCGGAAACAAGACCTTCACTCCGCAGTAGTGGTTCACCAGCATCTCGAGCTTCGACAATTCAAGGACTCGCCATCCAACCTGAACCAGAAAGGTCTGCAACGTTTGCTTTCGGGCGTTGCTGACTATGGCAAGAAAGCAGTCAGACTAACCTTCCAAACACGTCAAAGCATTCTGGCGCCGTTGATGGCCTTCACAAACTTTGAAGCTCGACGTACAGGTTGGTGTTGCTGAAGACCTGGACATTCTGCATGAACATTCCATAGACGCCATTGAGGACAAGCTTCAGGGTCTCTGCTTCTACGGAGCGCTTTTCGCGTTTCATGGCCAAGCAATCGTTGTAAGTGGACTGCATGAAATTTGCCAGGAAGGGCTCAGTCTTGAAGAGGATCACCTGGTGGATCTTGTCAATCCGACAGCCAAGGACTTCGGACATGAATTTCAACCGTTTGATATCTAGGCCTTCGTGCTGATGAGCGCCCAAGAACGGAACAAGTTCCGGTTGAAGAAGGTCCCAGGCCGTTTTCGCGCATGACCTCCTTAGTGTGTGAAGATAGCATGTTGATGCCGACACGCATCCTGCAAGGAGGAGCCCATGAACGGTAATCCACGTCCTTCGAAGCCTGCTGGACCCACTCGATTCGCGCAAGGTGACCCTCAGGAAACTGCACCACTTGACCACTGCTGATTGGAAGGGGCTTGGTCATCACGAAAGGACACATGCTTGAAATATCCATAGCCAACAACCACTGCTTGGGCCGACTAGGGTCCCAGTGCTCTTCACCCAACTCTGGTGCGTTGGCAACAGCATGACCTTGAAATGCGCACGACAGTCCTCCTATCAAAGTGCTTCTCAACGTCCGGTAGATGACAGGGTCAGTCACGAGACGAGC